TGTCTCTCTCTCAGGCCCAGCTCTCTGGAAGTCCACCTCGGAGAACATGACACGACCCGGGTCGAGGGTACAGAGCAGCGGTTCTGGGTGTCCAAGGCCATCCCCCACCCCTTCTACAACTCCCAGACCCTGGACAATGACATCATGCTGATCAAGCTGGCCCAGCCTGCCCAGTTCACCCAGTATGTGCGCCCCATCGCACTGCCCACCAGCTGCCCCCCGCCGGGCACCCAGTGCTTGGTGTCGGGTTGGGGCAATCTGATCACCAACGGGGGTAAAGACAGCATTAATTTGAGCAGTAGTAACACTAGTAATAGGGTCAGTAATAACAGTAGTAATAGAGAGGGTATTAACAATAATAACACATACAGTTATAACAGAAATAGTAACAATAGGAAAAGAGACAGTAGGAAGAATAGTAATAGAGAAGTTAATAACAGTAGTTTTAGGGACAGTTATAACAAACAGTAACAACAGTAAAAGAGATGGTAATAACATTAGTGAATAGGGACAGTCATAACAGAAACAGTAACAGTAGTAATATGGGCAGTAAGAACAGCAGTAAGGACAATATTAGAATGGAACTAACAAAAGAAATAAAGACTGTAACAGCAGTAATAACAATAGTAATAAGGACAGTAATAACAACAGTCATAACTAGTAAAAGGGACAATTATAACAGAAATTTTAGCAACAGTAATAGGGGCAGTAATAACAGCAGTAATGATGGTAATTAACACAGTAATAACATCATTAAGGACAGTAGTATTTGGAACAGTTGCAAACCAGGCCCATTCTAAACTGATCCCATTATTAACCAGCGCAGTGTGCCTGCTGTCTTCCAGTCCAGTACCCCCACACCCTGCAGTGCCTGGACCAGCCCATTATCGATGACGACACCTGCCGCCGCGCCTACCCCTACTACTACACTGACAACATGGTATGTTCCGGATTCATGCAGGGCGGAGCCAGCAGCTGCCAGGTGAGTCAGTGTCCAGTCACTAGCTTCCAGGTCTCACTGTCCTCAGTGCCAGTGTTAGCCAGTGTCCAGTGTCCAATGTCCAGTGTCCAGTCCTCAGTGTCAGCCAGTGTCCAGTGTCCAGTCCTCAGTGTCAGTGTCAGCCAGTGTCCAGTCACCAGTATTAACTCGTCTCTCTCCCTCTCTCAGGGTGACTCGGGGGGCCCCCTGGTCTGTAACGGGCAGCTGCAGGGCGTGGTGTCCTGGGGGTACGACTGTGCCGAGCCTGGACACCCCAGTGTCTACGTGCGCGTGTGCCGCTACAACGACTGGATCAGGGACGTCATGGCGTACAACTGAGAGCTGGCGCCCGCCTCTCTCCGGCTGCGCCTCGCTGTCTGAAATAAAGACGATACACCGTGCGCAGACACGCGGGCTCTGCTTCCGTTCTTGGTAAACGTGGTGCTCAGAGGGCTTGCTGTGTGCTCGCTCTCACCCGACTTCACACCCGACTGGACCCTGGTCCTGTAGGAGAAAACAAATACGAGGTTTACTTATTTATTAGTATCTGTTCACAGTACTCTCTCTATCAGATAGATACAGTAGTATCTGTTCACAGTACTCCCTCTATCAGATAGATACAGTAGTATCTGTTCA